TCTGAAGCGGGATAACCCCCAGTATAAAAGGTCGAAACAGACTTATCCCGAGCTAAAGTTATCCCGCTTCAGAAGCGGGCTAAAGTCGTGCGCAGTATAAAAGCGGCATTAGACTCATGTGTTAAATTCTCAATGGGGGAAACACCACATTATCTCATGTATTGAGGGATATAGGGTCAAAAAGTCAGAGGCAGTGGCAGTGCTAGTGGCGATAGCGATATGACAGCAGAGGCAGTGTTAATAATAGCAATAACCACTACATGAGTGTCGTCACTTGCTGGCACTTGTTTGAAATTATAACACGTTTGTCAAAATCAGATGTAGGTTTCGGAATCACAAAGCACCAGCCTGCAATCTATGCATCAACTGTTTTGGCAATTTATAAACATTTATAGCGGATTCATGCATGTTTGTTCACATTAGCCACAAAGGTGGTGGTGATCTCAGAAGACGTCATCTGCGTTGATACTTGGGGTTGAGGGCCGAATCGGATTAATCCCTATAAGTAAGGCCTCTTGTTCATTAAATGATATTAATGTATGCAAGTATGTACCGCGCAACAGCAGCTTGTGGCACGTGTAAAGGCCTACAGGTTGTATGGTAGCAGCTGTTGCCAAACACTAGCTCTCACCATAATTGCAAACCGTTCGTGAAATATTAACAAACCTGAGACATTAGCGATCGATAACTTTCACTAGAGCATATACTAGAGCACACACAGAGTGTGTCTATGCTTGTTGGAAGTCTCTATGGTTTCGATTCTGCAGCTTGAAGACATTTAGCGCGTTGATCAATGCAAACAGGTAAGGAATCGTAATTACACTGCCCTAGAGGGTACATCGTTTATATACTGCTGCCATGACGGCATGTGCGGCATGCGCGCATCTCTCTAATTAGCTATAGTAGGTGCATGCTAAATGTAGAGGGAAGAGTTGAGCAGGGTGCAGGCTAGAGCCGTGTGACTGCACTCGCGTCTGCAGCACAGTTCACCCGGCCACCAGATCGTGAACGCTGTCAGTAATGATCGGTAGCGTCGATATTCCGATGCGACGCAGGGTTGCCGGTCTCCACGTTACAGGCCCGCTTAACCAAACTCTGGCAATGGTCCCTTGTGTGCAAGTGTTCTTTATTCGATCTCGAATGAAGACTAAGAGGTGTAGTGTTGCTATATATAGTGAACAGAAATCAATGTTAATACGGCAGGTGACAGCAGGACCTGGTGATGTATAAAGCAGAGTGGAAAGGGAAAGTTCTGTTACTGTTTGCTGGAATGTGCCTACACCTGAGGAATTTATATTTGAAACGTACTTTTTCCAGTACGATTTATAAACATATTTGTCCATGGTAAGCACAGCAGACTGTATTGTTTTAATGTCTTACTCTGACCAACTACATGCCCTAAAGCAAATTAGATTGATTGATTGTTCACGTTCCAGACTGTATTTATTGGTATTTATGTGTGACTGTGTGTGTGTGTGTGCGTGGGTATGCATGTGTGTGTGGGTGTTTGTACATGCATGCACGCATATATATGCATGTGCTTACTTGTGTGCCTCTCTGTGGGTGAGTGTGCACGTGTCTGTGTGCGTGCATTTGCATGAATACATATGCGCGCGCACGTGCGTGCATGCGTGTGATGAGAGAGAGGGGGGAAGCGATTTTATCTTAGATTCACCCATCTGCCTCTTCCTTCCAGTCGGCGCTCACGAACCCGCTAGAGGTGCAGAGACAGCAGGAGACGAGACGCCGTAACATCGCGAAGCGGAGAGCCAAGGAACACCTGAGACCGAAAACTGTGGAGGCTGTCGAGGGTCGAAAGCACCAGGTATCACCAGGGAGCGCTGCATGAGCTATTCGTCGGTTAAGGGCAAAATCGTTGAGATACGGATTGAATAGCTTCTAATTACTAAATTTACAGTATTTAGTCCTGATAATGTAATAATCATACGTATCATCTCTGTGATTATCCATACTATTAATAAAGTACTATTGGAAATATGTGTACTATCAATCACGTTTACACTTCTACTGGTCGGTTAACATGCGCAAAACAGTTCATTTCTAACACGCAGTGTTTGCTCGCGCGTCTAGGATGTGCAGACGGAGCTCTACCTGGAGGAACTCGGGGACAGGGTGGAGGAGGTGGATGCACAGTGCCAGACCGACCCGTTCCTCGACCGTCCTGCCTCCCCGCTGTTCATCCCCGCGAAGACGGGAGTCGATGCTGCAACGCAGATCTACGACGGCGACGTGAGTGCAGCGCGAGCGGACGGATGCAGACACAGAGATTGTCGCCGGGAGGTTTGGGGGGGTGGTCCAGTTTCGCTTTCGTTTCAGTGGGGGCGAGGCGAGCGTTACCCTCGGGTTTAGTCTAAACTTTCTGTGGCCCCGCAGCAAAGATCTGCTTCGGAGGAGGGCGTTGTCGTCATCGAGGTAAATTACTTTTTTAATCGAGACTTTTTGAGAGAGAGAGAGAGAGAGAAGGCATCAGAAGAGATCAGAATACGACTCGCACTGACAATCAAATTCCTGGGATCGGGCGGAGATCGGGCGGCCCATTGTCGGAAACATAATCAATCTTGACATTAGGCTCAACACGAACGACTCTTTGTTATCGTAAACCGTCGACGGAAACGCAGAGAAGTTATGCAGTTTCTCGTACGCGGCGCGTACAAAGTTTCTCGTACGAGAAAAATGGTGACGTCGAGACTAATGCTAAGACCTAAGCTCCTGGCAATGGGCCCCAGGATGCATCTCGCCTCAAGTTTTTCCCGCACACCTCCAACCGTGCTGTGCGCCCGGGACTCAAACTTGACGGGTGTAGGCTCCCTCTCCTTCTCGCAGCAGTGCCGGCGAAATCTCGGCTCGGGATCCGAAAGCAGGGGCGGCCGCGTCACCTGATTTACCCCCCCCCCCGTGCGCTTCCTATTCATTTGATGTCATATACGCACACCGCTCCATCTTACGTCGCCCGCAGCTGTTCGACTTTGATGTGGAGGTAAAGCCGATACTGGAGGTACTGGTGGGGAAGACCCTGGAGCAGGCTTCGTTGGAGGTGATGGAGGAGGAGGAACTGGCTGCGATGCGCGCACAGCAGAAGGCCTTCCTAGAGCTGCGCAATGCCGAGCTCGTGGAGACACAGAGGCTAGAGGAGAAGGAGAGGAGACACAGGGAAGAGAAGGTAAGGTGGGAGAGAGAGGAGAAGGAGAGGTGACACAGAGGGGAGAAGGTAAGGAGAGACAGAGAGAAAGGATGAGGAGAGGCGAAAGAGAGAGAAGAAGGTAAGGTGGAGGGAGAGAAAAGAAGGTAAGGTGAGAGAGAGGAGAAGGAGAGGCGACGCAGGGAGGAGAAGGAGAGGCAACGCAGGGAGGAGAAGGTAAGAGAGTGGCAGAGAGAAGGTAAGGAAAGGCACACCATTGAGCTATGTTTGATATTTAAATTTGATATTTTGGGATATTTATACTAGATATTTATATTTAGCGACGAACGACTACAGTTAGGACGGTCTTCTTCGTGCTTCTAACTCTATCAGACTTAATAACGGTCGACGTGTGCTTGTGTGGCGGACAGGCACGGCGCATGCAGCAGCAGAAGGAGGTGCTGGAATTGGAAGTCGACACGTCTCAGAGGGTGGCTGCGCGTGCCTTCGCTCAGGGATATCTCTCAGACCTGGTGCCCTCCGTCTTCTCCAGTCTGACCGACAGCGGATACTTCTACGACCCCGTGGAGAGAGGTATGCGGCTATGCGCGTGTGAGGGGGAGGGGAAGGGTGGAAGGGAGTCACGCTGGAAGGTGCAGTAGGATGTATAGAGGGATGCTTAGGTGGGATTTGTAAGCAGAATGGATGCGGGCGCATGCAGGGAAGAAGAGGAGAATAGGCAATGTGACATCCGAGTGGGGAAGAAAATGGGGGACGAAAAAGAAAGTTTGAGAGAGTGCATGAGAGTGCATGAGAGTGCATGAGAGTGAAAGAGAAAGAGAGAGGGGAGAGAGAGAGAGAGGGGGGGGAAGAGAGAGAGTGCGTGAGCACAAGAGAAAGAGAAAGAGACAGGAAATAAACTAGTAGAGGTGTTTACCCGTTCGCGTGTACAATACGTGCATTCACATACATAGTAACCTCGTTGCAGACTTAGAGACCGGCTTTATGGTGTGGCTGATGGAACGCGTAGAGGTCAACCTGCGTGATGCGGCTCTCGGGCGCGCCATGCTGGACTGTAAGTACTGCCTCGCACGCACGCGCGCGTGCACATTTGCTCTTCTTCTCTCTCTACGGAGGATCATGTCCGCGATACATTTACCTCATAATTTCATCACTACGTCAGATCAGGAGCATCGCAACAGTATGCCGCTCCCTCGCTTCACTCACTACGTCATAAACTAGTTTGTGTGTTTTTGAGACAATGTTAGTGATGACCAATGATTTCTGATACGATGTTAGTTGTTCCGTTTAAGGATATACTGTTTGAGATTCCAATTAAGCAATTACAGCCAACTGGCAATCTTTGTGTGAAATCCTCTGTGTAAAATCACGATATAACTTTGATAATCAGATATTACCGTCTATATACAGAGATCAATTGGAAATCTTTGTGACGAAAAATTATTGCTGATGGGGAAAAGCGGGGGAGAAGGGGGAAGAGAAGGAAGAAAGGAGGAATCCAGAACTTCACTTATGAGCTTTGTTTTCGTGCTTTTCAGCGATCATACGTGACATCGTAAAAACCAAGAACAGAGAATTTGAGAAGCTGGAGGCTGCTAATATCGTTGATGCACCGTAGATGGCAACACTGGTGTGCAACTGTAAATACATGGGAGTTATGTGGGGTGCTGGTGCATAAAAACTGGCGGGGTTCGACGTGAAAGGCGACCGTGCTTAGCATGCATCATAGGTCGGATTCTCTCTCTCTCTCTCGTTCCTTATCCCACTCCATCTGTTTCTTTCTCACGCTCTCTCTCCATCGCAAACTTTCGTGCGCACTCTCTCTGTCTCCACTTCCCTCTCATCTCTCTTGCCTATATTTCTTTCTCTCTCATCTCTAACTACCTCTCTAGTCATCTCTCTCTCCTTTTATCCCCATTCTCACCTTATCTGTCTTCCTCCATCCCCTCTCTTCTCATCTCTCCTTCTATCCCCTCTTTCTACCGCTCCCACTCCTCTCTCCCTGCCACCACCAACTCTAACTCACACGGTAGAAAAAAATTATTGAGTAAGTCCCAAGATTTAGTAACAATGTTTTATTTTTCAGCTATAGCAAATATGTAACACATCATAAACCAGCCACTGACACTGTCATTTTATTCTGATATGATAGCATCTAGAAAAGATACTTATGTTTGACAAATGAGAGGTTTACTTCATGTGGCAGTCAAATATTCTAACTTTCTATATATTGTAAAATAACAACATTAATTTAGCTAAAATAACTTTGTGCACAGCGTGATGAAAATGAAGTCACGTGTCACCTTAAACTTAGTTTATTCTTTCAGAGTGCAGGTAGCAATAGCAGTACAGTCTGTCATTATTCCTTCCTGGTAATAGGTACGTAGTTTTCTCACTATAGTTGGTCATACGTGAGCAGTTCAACCTCATGTGTAGATCATGTGTAGAGAAAGCTTGTGCAGTTTACTAAATAGCGTAAGTATGTAGGCCTACGACACCAGTTTTAAAACACATTTTAAAACCATGGAGCACGCCGGCAAATTCTAAATAATAAGATAGATAAAGGGAAAAATAATCAAATTAAACTTGGTTAAAACTTGTTGCACAGTGCATGGCACGCAACAGTGCCTGTATCTAGTGATGTAACCGGTTGTTTGGAGACAAAATAAGATGCCGTTACACTATATAGTAACTGTATATATATATAGCAAAAAGACAGTAGTAATAGCAGTTTACATGAATGTAACACAGTCTAGTGAAGCTTAGTAATAACTGTATAAAAAAGCAAGACGTCTAGCTTGTTTATAGTAATATAAACCTTACTTCTACTCTTTTTGTAGAGTACATGTGATCTAGACATTACATGGAATGGAATGTGGGTAGCTTATCAATTATATTGGGTAGTACTATGTACATGGGTAGGGGGTTACTAGTAGACAAAATATAACTGCAAACCAGGGTTGTCAGCAGACGGAATAACCAGATAAACCATCTATTCACCTTCAAATTTGTATAATAATTTCTCATTTTACGACATCTTGACATCACTATTCCATTTCGCTATAAAAAAAGGAAGAGACCCTTATATTTTCAAGCTCAATCATAGGTTTATAAGGCACAAACTACGTCAACGTACGCAGAGAACCTACTACTCGCGCTCGAAAATAAACCTGGCTCTGAACGCTGGGGAAATTGACTGGCACCGCGCGTACGTACGGTGGTAGCTATAGGCCTAGGCTAGCGCTATCACCATAGTCCTTGGGAAGCCACGGGCAACAAGGGCTATATAGTACTACGCTAGGCCTAGGCAGTATGCTATCTATCTCCGTAATTACAGAGTCACAACAGAACCGACAAGGTCGTAAACAAACTCCGGCAGCAACCACATGCAGTTTCACCAGAAAGGTCGTGATACGCCAAGGTTAATTATTTTTATAACTATTGGCATTGAATGGAAACATCTATTTCAGGCCGTTAGACAGGGGGGTTCGGGGGTTCGAACGAACCGCCCCCCCCGAGCCCCCAAGCCCAAAAAATTTTTTTTTTGAAAATGTTGAAAGAATTTTCACCTCAGGTCGGCGTGATTTATGTGAATAATGCAAAATCTTCCATCATGCGGAGGGTGAACAGGTGAACACCCCCTCCCACACCCTCCCCCCGGTCGCGTCGCTTGGCTCCCTCGCCTGGTCGTTTGCGCCCGAGCCAAGGGCGTGTACAGGGAGGGGGGGGGCGTCAGGGAGTCCGGACCCCCCTCCTTGCTCGCGCCAGAAAACGCCATCTGAGAGGGATAGTATAATTTTAAAATTTTTAGACCCCCCTACTCGGCCTGTGCTTCGCCAACTTTTAGAGTCCGGTTAGAAACCCCCCTAGTACAAAGTCCTGCTACACGCCCCTGACGAGCAAATTGCCAACATTGGAAAACGAACGCCCCCCCAAATAAAGCTGGCTATGGGGGCCTGTCCATTTTGTTAGCGTTTAATCAGCGTTTTGAATCGATCACTTTCGCTGTTATGCTTCTTGTTGTTTGCGATGGCTCCATTAATTATCAACCAGCTATTTCACCTCCCGGCTTTACCTTCACCGTAAGTAACGTGGCTTCGAAATGTCCCCAAACTGCACCTGGATACATATGTGTGAGTACAAGCTTTATGCTTTTATCAACTAACACTCGGGTTAGTCTATCAACTGCATCTTAGCCGGATAGTTACCGAATAGATGTTTCCATTCAATGCCAATAGTTAACCTTAGCGCTACGCATCACGACCTTTTGGTGAAACTGCATGTGGTGCTGCCGGGAGTTTGTTTACCACCTTGGCCGGCTTCTTGTTGTGCACTCTGTTAATACACGGAGATAGCTAGATACTGCCTAGCGGGCCTAGCGTTAGTACTATTAACACTTCTTGCCCGTGGCCTTTCCCAAGCGACTGATGCGTCGCTAGCGCTCAGCTAGGCCTATAGCTACCACACGTACGTACGCGCGGTGCCAGTCACATTCCCCCAGCGTTCAGAGCCAAGGTTTATGTTCGAGCGCGAGTAGGTTCTCCTGCGTACGTTGACCGCTAGTTTGAAACTGCGGGGTTCGACGTGAAAAGGCCGACCTGCTTCAGCATGCATCATAGGTCGGATTCTCTCTCTCTCCTCTCTCTCGCTTCCTTATCTCACTCCATCTGTTTATCTTTCTCACGCTCTCTCCCTCGCGAAAATTTCCGTGCGCACTCTCTCTGTCTCCACTTCCCTCTCATCTCTCTGCCTAAATTTCTTTCTCTCTCATACTCTACTTCCTCTCTAGGTCACCTCTCTCTCCTTTTCTACCCATTCTCACCTTATCTGTCTTCCTCCATCCCGCTCTTCTCATCTCTCCTTCTATCCCCGTCTCTTCTACCGCCTCCCACTCCTCTCTCCCTGCACCACGCTACTCTAACTGACACCAGGTTAGAAAACACAAATTATTGCAGTAAGTCCCAAGATTCAGTAACAAATGTTTTATATTTTCAGCATATCATGCAAATACTGTAACACATCATAACCAGCCACTGACACTGTCATTTCTATTCTGATATGATAGCATCTAGAAAAAGATACTTATGTTTGACAAATAGAGCGTATTACTTCATGTGGCAGTCAAATATTCTACAGCTTCTCTATATA